CTAGGATTGAAAATGTATTTCTCCAGATGTTGTGTAATAATATCGTAATTAATGAGGATCTCTATACTATTCAAGATCTTCCCACCATTACAAGGCAAAAAGATTGTTGGGAATCTGACTTTTTGGATAATGGAAGATATACGCCAGTAAAATTCCTTTAACTAGGCATAGTTGCTAGAAGATATCGGGAGTTACATAACAAGACTGAAAAGCTACATAAGAACCTGGGATTCACTATTAGCCATTCAGTTTTGCATGGATGGATTAAAATCAAGACCAAAAGAAAGGAAGTATTGAGCAAGACTTTGAATCCAAGTAGATGATAAGTACCTCAGATGGTTACAAGAAAATAATCAAGAGTATAGATAGATAAGTTTCTCAGATGGTCAGGAAGAAGAAGGATATCCCAGAAGTGTTGATTTCTAATGAGAGGAGGTTTCTAACAAAGGTTCTTTGGAGGACATGGAGCACTTTTATTTTTTCTTTTTATTTTTTGTTTTCATATAGCACAACTATGTATTTTTAGATATTCCCTTTTCTTTTCTTTGTCCCTTTCCCTTTTGTAGTTTCTCAAAATCAGTTCCTTGGAAGATAATAAGTAGTGATAACCTGCTGGCAATGATGGATAAGTTAGAAGGGTCTTCACCCAAAACTTATTTCAAAGCAAAATATTGTTCCCAAGATTGCACTTAAAGACTGAAGCTTATTTGAGAATTGAAAGCTATTGACGAGTATGTCAGTACAAGTTTTTAGTTTAGCAATGATACAATTGCTCTATGTATCTCTATCAGTTTTCATATTAATTAATAAATACACAGTGCTTGCCTAACCATGGGTTTAAAAAAAAAAAATAAGAAAGAAGTTTAATCTGTAATAGTAACTTGACAAATAAATGATTAAAAAAAATCTAGAAATCTGATAGGAGCCTTTTCAATGTTATCTATGGATATATGAAAAAGATAAAACTATTTTTATGAAGAAGTATCTTAAAAAGCAGCTCAAAATCCCATCTACAACTATTAATGAGTCCCTAAAATATTTAGCATATAAAATTTTGCAGATCACTTATATCCTTTTTGAGAGATAAAATTCATAGCTCTTTGCTTTAATAGAAACAAAAATCGGGAAATATTATAAATCAATGATTTGGATAATGAAAAACAATTGTAAATAGTTTTTTTATAGTTATTAATTTAAAAATTTTAATGTTTCTTAATGAAAAACATTTGACTTTTGTTTCTGTCTCCTTCTTTAGGGACCTATCTTTATCTACAACTATACAGAGTATAATTGATAAGTTTTGTTAAAAGATGCAAGTAAACTTCAAAAAAAAAAGATCCAAATAGTTGTTGTATCAAAGTTATAGAATGGAAAAAGAAACAAAAAATTATGGAAAAAGATAAAAGAAACAAAAGATATAAGTACAGATATTATATACAAACTGAATAAGATCAAGAAGTATTACTATTACCTTCAGAGAATCTGAATTTAGAAGGCACTAAAGAAAAGAAAGAAAGAAGTATACAGTGATAATTAAGGATTGGATTTGATATAGAATCAGATAGTTTGATTTTTAACTGTAGATAGAACTTACAATGATAATTTGTTCGCAATGATTTTATTAATTAAAAAAGTTGTTCAAATTAGTAAATGGATGAAATATCTTTTCCTAGATTGTATTTAGAGAAATAATTTTTTGATAATAAGTAAGTTGATATATAAAAAATGTAACAATTTATAAATATCTAGCATATATACAATAAAGATATACTATGTTAACCTGACTGTGAGTTAAAAAAAAAAAGATAACAGTCAATCAAAATTTTCCAAAAGTAAAAATTTGACAAAAGAAATTTTTTAACAATAATTAAACTTTAAAACATTATATATAAAAATTTTTTTTAAAAAAATATAATATATAAACCTAGTATTAAGATATAATATATATAAATTTTATAATTTTTAGTTATATAATTAAGGATTTAAAAATTGTTAAAAGTTGAAATTTATAATAAAAATATAGTAAGTAGACTCAAACTTTTGAAAACAATTATAAAAAAAATAAAAATAAATATTATAGATATGTTGATTTAATTATTAAACAATTATAATTAGTAAAGAAAACTTTAAATAATATAAATTATTTATAATATTATTTTTATTAGAAAATATTATTGGAATTTTAAATATTGATTATATTATTTTTATGAAAGTCAATATTTTTTGACAATATATTTTTTCTTTATAGATTTAAAAACAAGAAAAAAAAAGATAATTTTCTAGTTTTATTTTTAGAAAATAATTAATTAAAATACAATATATAGTATTTTATATATTATAACAATAAATTAGTCAATATCAAAAAATATTTTTTCAATTAATAATTTATCTAATAAAATAGTAATTATAAAAGTTCAATCAAATATAACAATAAATATTTTTAATAATACTGAAATAAAAATAAAAGATAAAGAATTAAAAGATAAAATAAAAATAAAAATTATTATTGAAAAGATTAAAAAAAAATAATATAATATAATTGAATATATATAAAATAAGAAATAAATTAAAACTAACTCTTTCCACTGATCCTCTGACCACATACAAAAAAGATGTTCGCAAGAAGTTTTTATACTTCTTTGCTAATAAAGTCTTAATACTTTTATTAAAACAACTTAAAGTATGACTTCAAGAGTCACCTCTATCTTTTTCTTTTGGTTTACAAACCTCTTCACTCAAAAACTTGACTTCTAGTGACCAAGAAAAGTCAAGCAATACCTTTGATACCAATGGCAAGAAAGTTTCTAAAGAAAACAAAAACTAACTGTGAAGTATTTGAAGGTCTATTTAATCTTTGAAGCAAGAGATATATAGAGGTTTTTAATGATAGAAAGGCTTATTTTTCCCCTTCCAGTCACTTGTGAGCCTCTTAAAGCTATCGCTTTCATGGTTTTCTGGTGAATTTTGCCTACCTCAGTTTGACCCTGAATTTTTGATAGCACAAATCCTCACCAAAGGTGATTGGTTAACATGAAACATGTCAGTTTTTGAAATATAAACAAGCTTCTATTAGTTACACTTACATGTCTTGATACATCATTGATGATGTAGGAAAAAAAGTTCTAGAAAAAGTGTCCCCTCCAATTGTGTATGTTCAACCTTCAGAAAACAATTATGATATCAAAAGATAAGTGACAGGTATGAAAAGAAGATTCAACTTTTATTTCTCATTAAGTTCCTCAGGTGATGAAAAGGCTTTTTTGGACAAAAGCTGAGGTTTCCAAGCTTCTATCTTAGTCAAGCAAAGTTCTTGAAAAGATTTCTTTATCCTGATTAGGCAAACTCTTTCGTAAAATAGTACTGGCCTCAACAATAATAAGTGAATTCATATATTGGAAGAAGGATAAGTTCCTCAAATGTTTTTCTTGAAGTCACTTTCAAGAATAGCTAAGTTCCTTAAATGTCATAAAGCTTAGAGAATATCCCAATCAGGTAAACTTCTTTTGAGAGAAAACTGTGAAATGGAGCAAAAATCTTTTGAAGGGTTTTGATTTGCATTCCCCTTCCCTTTTCCTAATATCAACTTTAGCAATTCATCATTTTTCAGAATAATCTATAGTGACAAACTGTTGGCGATGATCCTGGTTAACTTAGAGACATTATTGTCAAACTACTAAGAGAGTGAAATATTGTTTCTTAAATCTGATTTAGAGTATCTAGTTTAGATTTAGTTTTGTTTAATTCGAACTAACTTAGTGGATTCCTTATATTTTTTAAATAGTGTAATTCTTTAACTAATAATATACAACGATGAGTTAGTCGCTTTGTAAAAGTCTGTAAAATATTTAGATATTTCTCAATATTTCAATAAAGACATACCATTGTGGCATGATTATGGGATAAAAAAATAAAAAAATAAATAAATAAATAAATTAAAACTATCTAGTGTTAATTTTTTTATTAAAATATATTTTGAATACAAAATAAATATTTTTATATTTAGTTTCTTAGGAGAAACTGAAATTAAATGAATAGTATATTTTTAAATATATTAAACTTATCAAAAGATTTTTAATCTTTTGAAAAGAAATTTATTTATAACAATATTTGAACAATATTTTATTATAAAAAGAAAAAAGATACTTTATAGTTTTTTTAAAAAAACTTTATTATTGTATCTATAAGGATAGAAAAATGAATAAATATTAATTAATTAGTAAATAAAATCTGTTTTAATAAAAAAAAAAAAAGATGAAACATCATTAATAGCTATCCTAATAAATATTGATTAAAATTACTCATATTAAAAAATCAAATTTATTTTTTACAAATATAAAAATATAACATACATTTATATTTATAACTATTTATATTCATAAAGAAGAATCAAGATATACATTACTTTTATTAACAATTCTATTATAAGTCATTTTTTACTACATGTGTATAAAAAATCACTATTTAAAGAAGGTTGAAACCAAGTATATCCTAAAAATAAAGGCTTCTACTAGGTGATAAGTCTTCTCAGATGGTATATAAGAAGGAAATCAAGATCAAGAATGGATAAGTTCCTCAAACAATTAAGCAAAGAAAGAATATCTCAATTGGGTATTTCTTATATAGTAGTGACAACCTGTTAACAATGATACAATAAACTAGGAGGGTTTTTACCCAAAGACATTGCAAAGTAAAATATTGTTTCCAAGGTTGAACTTAGAGACTTTTATGCTTATAACAAGTTAGCTAGATTAAAATAATAGTTTAACTATAGTATGTATTATGCTGCTCGAATGAAAATGTACTTATGTTTTTAATTGATTAATAAATTGACAATCTAGCCTGGCTATGGGTACTCAAAAAAAAAATCACTTTTTATCAACAATATTTCAATCTCAAAAAGAAATATATCAATACAGAAAACATTTAATAAACTAATAGTCTAACCTGACTATAGATATTACAAAAAAAAAAACTATACATAATAAAAGATTAAATAAATGATGGTACATACTAATAACAATAAATGAATAAAATGATTGTATTTACTGTATTTTTAAATTATAATATTAATAAAGAGTATTAAGCTTGCAATATACAGTAATCATTTATATTAACAGTTGTTAATTTATTTTTACCGTTTGTTCGTGAATCTGGATTTAACTTGCTCAACACATTCAATTAAGGCAAATACACTTCCATTATTTCACGTCTATATGAAAAATGTCAACAAAAAGCCCGACGCTAAGACAAAGCACATCATTTGGTTTACACGAGTGAGAAAGGATTTCCAACCCTCTGGACAATAAAAATACGAATTTTTAAAATAATTTCTGAATTTGAATTGATTCGTTAGTATCAAGCGCTTTCAGTTTTGAGATTATTGTTATTTTGCTTTGGAAAGTCCATGATTTCTTTTTTGCGTTAACATGGAAAAGCTTTTGTTTTGACTGGGGTGTTTAAATGGCTTGGATATGCGCTACTTAGCGATTTGTAAAAAAAAAAAAAAAAAAAAAAGCAGTAAGCAAAATTATTGTTTATAAGCCACTTTAAGAATTTGGAACCATTTATTAACACACGGTAACTTGCATTGAAGAAAGGTTGATTTTTGATGACTATAAACAATCTTAATGTGGCTTCGGACTAAGAATAGTGGGGGCTTGTATTCAAGGGCTGAAAGGGAAAAGGACAGAAATACAAATCGAAATAGTCTAATTTTTCATTAAATAGGCATTATTCTATGTCAAAAGACCTCACATAAGAAAAAACCGAAAAATTATACATGTTCGTCTATCAAATAATTGTTGACGAAGCTATCTGCTTTCGAACATTATTTTTTGTATGACATTTCGATGATTTTCAAAATAAATCGTAATCAGAGGTTGATATTAACGCTGTTCTTTCACTCGGTTGCTGAAGGACAAGGAAGCAGCGACAGTTCCGGATGGGTATTTTGGTATAGCGATGGATCTTGTGGACAATATTGTATCATCACATTTTCAATAGTAGGCATAATAACATTTTTGATGATATTATGCTGTATATGGAGATTTTGCTTGATCAAACGGCATTATAAAAAAGATAGATTACGCGCTAAAATGAGTCTTGAACAGGAGATGGCCGAATTTGGAAGTGAAGATAATATACCAAAGCGTAACCCTTATCTAGATGCTACAATCCGACAATATCCACCATTATCAACGGCACGAAACGATTATGACCTCCCACCACCATACAGTGAAATGCTTGGACAATCAAAAATTCACGAATTACGACGTAATGCAAGTTGGCAAGCCTACAAAGAAGGTCAAAAATTCAATCGGGATAATCCACCATTTGAAATTTTACCACCTGACGATCATATTGAATACATAGTAACGTCAGGTGGACCGAAGGCATGGAGGATTTTACTAGAAGAAAGCATCCGGCATAATAACCTTGCTAACGTTTTAGAAAATGGACTCGTCGTACAATTTAATGGAAAGTCTGATAAAATGGTGCAAACAAACTATCCCTTTTTTAGGCCATATGAAGGTGTTGTCAGCATGACCGAGTGGTTTCATTACTATGAGATAACTATATTATCAGCTCCCATTAGTATAGGGAAAACTACAGTAATAGCTATGGGGTTAGCAACAAAACCATATCCATCATTTAGGTATTTAATTAACTTTAATCTATAATTTTTCACATCCATGTAATATTAATCAACATTTTTGTGCAGGTTACCAGGTTGGCATAGGGAATCTGTAGCGTGGCATTCTGATGGACATATATTTAACAATTCAAGCTACGGAGGAAAACCTTATAGCGAGAAGTGGGGCAAGGTTGGTGATGTTCTTGGGTGTGGTTATTATCCCCAGACCGGAATTGTGTTCTTCACCAAGAACGGGCAAAGGTTGGATAATGCATATATGGGGATGAAGCACGTGTGGTTTCCGACGGTTGGTGTCGAAGACGAGCACAAGATTGAGTTTAACTTTGGTGGTGGCGAAAAAGAATTTCAATATGAAGAAGCCAGAGGAACTAGTGCCGCAGGTCCTATCAGATAAAAGACCGGTGATTAAATTCTCTCCTGCCAATCACATTTTATTAAGTTTATACTCTGCAAAATATTTCTTTCTTTCTACAATACTTTTAAACCTCATCAAGAACGTATTTTTTTTTTTTTTTATCGAATTTAAGTACGCGTGTGAGATCGATAGATTAACAGAATAATCGTTCAAAGTTGAAGAATTTACTAACTGAAAAGATAAAACGTGAATTTATTATACTTTTATTATCAAATAAACAAATTTTTATTAGCCCTTTATACAACGAAAACTTTTGAAAATACTAAGGTGCAATTAATTGGACAATTCCTAATAGCATTCTAACATGATGCTTATAAATTTAACTATTTATTAATCTTGATACTTTTTTAAAAAAAACTTGTTCAGCCTACCTTTATTAATCAAATAATATATTATAATCCAATTAACATATTCAAGAAAATGAACAACAAAAGCATATCTATGAAAAACTTTATTTATAATCTATAGTCATTCACTATGGAATTCTGCATTTCAATTTGAGTAGTAAATATTAAGATTGTGAAAGAGAATAAAATATTATAAGATTTAAAATATACTGTTACATATCATAATTAATAAAAAATTTTCATACTTAATATTAATAATTATTTGGTTTTAGATATACCTTTGTTTTAAAGTGTTATCTCAATTCTTTTAAAGATTATCTCAAATATCCTTTCTTTAAAAAAAATAATTTTATTACTAAAAATTTGATTATTTTATATAATAAAACTTTAAAGTTTCTCTCAACTTACTTTCGATTTTATTGTTAAAAAAGTTAACAATTTATGGTAATCTTAATAAATTATCAAAAACTTATAGTAATAATTAAATATATCATATCATTAAATTCTAAAAATTAAAATAACAATATATTACACTATAATATAAAATTTGTAGCATTATAAAATACTTTTATATGTTTTATTATATAATACTTCCAAAAGTTTTAATTTACTTACTATGTTTTTATCATAAATTTAACTTTATCATTTTTAAATTCTTAATTATATAATTAAGAATTATAGTATTTATATAAATTATATTTTAATATTAACTTTATTTCATATTTTTTTTTTCAAAAAATTTTTATATGTAATTTTTTAAAGTTTTATTGTTTTTAAAAAAAATTTTTTTATCAAATTTTTGTTTTTGAATAATTTTAATTGATCATTATTAAAAATTTTATAATAATTAATAAAAAAATAAAAAATTTTAACAATAATAAAACTTTAACAAGTATTAAAATATAATATCTATAAATTTTATTTTTTATTTTTTATATAACCAAAGTAAATAAAATTTATTAAGATTATGATAGATTAAATATAATATATAATATTTTTTTTTAAAAATCTAAATACAAAAAAAATTTTACTTTATAAGTAGTTTTTATTATCATTTAAAATTAAATTTTTTTTTTAATTAAAAATATTGAATTTTTTAATCTATTTAAAATAACCAAAATTAATTTATTTTATTTTAAAATTAAATAGTTTCAATATTAAAAACAATTAAAATTTTTTAGGTCTTTGTATAAAAAAGTATAAAAAATTTTTTTAATTTTATAAACTATATCGATTTATTATATAACTTAAAAAAATATTTAGACCTGTAGGTCAATAGTATAGTGAATGCACCCTCAAGTCACCAATAATGAAATACTGGTTCAAACCCACTCAAGAACAGTTTTTACAGTATAAGTTACACTTGTACAAGATACATACTATACAGTCACATGTATATTTGTACATAATCAACCTATAAAAACCCACCATCTGATCATGGTATAATAAATCAGGTTATACAGATCCTAGTCAGTTTTAGTATTAGGAAAAAATGAAGATCCTTGCCATCCGGAATATATGAAGATATCAAGTAAGCCAGGAAGAATTCAGATTAGATCAAATATATGGAAAACTCATCTCTTCTCAAAAAATATCCTTTGGAAGAGATGGATGACTTAGGTCACTAATACCAATTAAAAAGATAACTAGTATGGGTCAGAATGTACCATGGAGATCTTAAGATCATTGAACCAATAGCTACTAGAAAGAACAGCTGGATGCCTAGGCTGGTGATTAGTGTTAGCATCACGATAGAAACCATAGGGATCAACTAGAAATTTGGAAGAAGTAATTCAAAATGTAACAATCAAGGAAAATCTCTGTAGGCCATATTTGAAGAGTGGTTAAGAATGACACAATAGAAGACTATATGTTGATTATGGGGGCACACCATTGAATTGTCATAATTTCAACATATACCATTGGCCTCGTATGATCAGAAGACAACCAAGTCTCCTTAGGACTTAACATGATAAAGATTCACCATAGTACCCACTACAAAATATACAATATTATTACATAAAAGAATACATATCCTGAAGCTCTCCATTTAATTCTTAATAAAAGTTTTCTAACGGATCCTTGGAAACATTAGATACCTGGGTAGAGCAAGATGACTGACAAAATAGTATCAAATATAGTAAAATTGATAAGAATCTAATATATAAAGTTAGATTTGGTATGGTTAAACAGGTTAGGTGAATAGCTCATGTAATCAAAAAGCCTACTACTACTTAATAAAAGATTCATGTCTATTAGTTAGGATAGTTAAAATATATATATATATATTTATTTATTTTTATTTATTATATTTTCTTAAAATTATATTTAAAAAATATTAAAATATATTTTGTTATTTATATATTTGAAATAAAAAATATTGATATTTGTATTTTTATTATCTTATGATGATGTTTAATTAATATTTATATATTAACTTATTAATTATTTCAGTTGTTATTAAAAACTTTCAATTTAAATAATATATTACTCATTTATTTTTTTTTAAAGTTTACTTGATACTACAAAAAACTTAATCTATATCTATTTAATAAAATTATTTTATAATTAAGTTTTAACTATATATGAAACATAATGCAACATATAGCCCTAACCATCAAATCAAAAACCATTGTACCCAACATAGCATCTCCAACATGCCCTGGTTATTATTGAAAAAGGATATTCAGGATGCAATAGAGGAATTGAAATTTATCAGTCAAAAGATTGAAGCCAAGAAAACAAGAGAAGCAATCAATGTTGCTATGGAACAATGATGTGATGACCTAAAATTCAATCAGAGAAGAATAGTAAGCTCCCTAACAAACAAAACAAGAAGCAAAATAGTGCTGGACAGAGTTAAGGTTACACAATATGGTATAGAATACATAACAACTAAAACAAAAAAAATAGAGAAAAAATTAAGAAGATACCATCTAGAAGCATTTAAAAAAAGAAATGTCAATTTCAATAGTCTTATAGAAGACTAGAAAGAGGAGTATAAATCCAAGGATTATATTAAGGAACTATGGTATAAAGATCTCTTTGAGCCAATCTCACAAGCAGAATTATGTGAAATACTTTGAACACTTCCAAACAACAAGGCACAAGGATAGTCACAAATTAGCTACAAAATACTTAAAAAACTGAATCAAGAGGGAAAGGAAATTCTGAGAAGAATGTTAAATACTTTTTGAGATAAGAGGTAACCCCCACTTGTTGGAAACAGAACCATATATACCCCATAGCCAAGCCAAAACCGTGGGAGTGTGAGCTAATAAACATAAGACCAATAGTTTTGTTAGAAGTTACTAGAAAGTGTTTCACAAAAATCCATACTAATAGGATGGGAAATATTTGTAAAGTCAATAATATTCTCAAAGGTCCCAACTTTACGGGTCTCCCTGGAGAAAGTACATCAGAACCAATCCAAATCCTCAATAACATCTGTGAAGATACAAGAGAAAATAAAAAGAAACTGTGGATACTTTTCCAAGATATCACTAAAGCCTATGACACAATTAGTCTGGATATGCTAGTCAAAGCAATAAAAAGAATCAAAATATTAAAGGATTTTATCAAGATCATACTGAGCCTATTTCAAGATGGAAAATTTCAAGTTATCTTTAAAAATGATCTCACAAAACCCATAAAAGTAGGGGATGGCATTGATCAAGAGGAAATCATTACACCATTGCTATGGCAAATATTCTATAATTCTTTACTTTGTAAAATTTAGAATAACAAAGAAAGGAAATACAAAATGTTGGTCACCTGGAATCCAGATTTTAAAGGACAAACCATAAGAAGGCTAGAATCAAGACATGCAATCATAGCCTTTATGGATGATATGACATGAATAGCAAAATCCAAAAAGAATATAGAAGAAATTCTCAAAACTACGAGAGTCTTCTACAAAGCAAATGATTCTCAAATCAATAGTAATAAATTAGTTCTAATTACTATTAACAATTCTAATTACTATTCAGATGAAGTTTAAATCGGTATAGAAAAAGAAGTGGTGAAAAAGCTCAGCAGGGTAGAACGTACAAGATTTCTAGGAATCTAAACTGGCAATCAAAAAACTACAGTTGAACTTAAAGAGAGAGTACTAAAAAAGATCAATGTAGTGACTAGAGCTCTTGAAAACAAGAAATTAACAGATAAACAAACCCTGTATATTCTAAATAGGATATTAATTCCAAAAATAGAATTCAGGATACAACATAGTATACTACCCTGGAAAATATGTAACACTCTAACAGCAGCATATAGAAAGCTCTTCAAAACAAGAGTACTCTATGTAGATCTATATTTAATAGTGTAATACATTATCCAAAGATTCACAACCTGAAAAGCATCTGGATGCTCCAGTAAGAAAGTCAAATAATAGGACTGTGTAATAGACTAAATGATTCTGGTCCCACAGGAATCACAACAATTATCCGATTCAAACAAGCACAGATAAAGAATTGGGAACTGCTTAACCTATTAATATGCAACTCTCTGAATTATTTATCAGATAAAAGAAACTTTACACTCCAAGTAATGAAGTTGGTTAAAGATATAGGAATAACCTTTCACAGTTGAAAATGGCAAGAAATCTTGAATGGAGCAAGGGAAATAGTTTAATTAAGGAACACCTTACATTAGAAGAATATAGAAAAGCCATACCATCACTAAGAAACAATAAACTGCTATACGTAGACCAGTTAATCAATTAAACTATTAAAGAAATCAGGGATTGGCGAATACTTCAACTACTTTAGAACACCAGTAAAGGTCCAATTCCTGAATGGTTTCAAGCTTTAATCAAAACTCATCCAAGTAATAGGATAGGCCAACTCATGAGTACGTGAAAAAAGAGATTGGACAAAGTGAAAACCAGAATATGTTGCAATTAATCCAAACCATGACAAACAATAAAAACTATGGATAATTATAAAGAAAGCTGGGTATTATATAATCCGGAGAAAACTACAATAGATAAGAATAGGACACAAAGTCAACTTCAAACACTTCAACTACTGTAATAATTATAATACTTAAACAACAATATTAACAAGGTACCCAAGATATCCAGAGGGTACAAAACAAGAAGGGGAATGTATATTAGAGAAAGATATGAATATACTATATATATAAAGTTTCATATCTCAATACAAGAAAGTCAACCAGAAGAGTTCAAGAACTAACAATCCCCTACTCCAAGGTATTACTAGAAGAGACAATGGAAAAGGTTACTAATATGAATCTAAACCCTCAAACCTTAGCTCCAACCAATATAGTGAATTGGATAGATATCGAAAGATGGGAAGAGGTCACCGTTAGAGACAACGTTATAGAAGAAGTATATCAGGACCACCTAATAGAAATACTTCAACGTAACCTATGATTCAATATTAATAAACTAATCTTCTACTCTAATGGATCACTCAATAATCATGAAAAGTAAGAAATGAAAATGGGAGTAGCATGGATCCAAATAGAAGATATGAGTAGAGAAAGTAAATTTCAGACAGGAGTAGACAGTTGGTTCTCCTCAACACATGCCAAACTTATAGCAATTGTTACAATACTTCTGGTGATTCTAGTGGATAGTGATGTAGAAATCTATACAGATAGCCAGGCCTGTATCTTCAAGTGAAAAACAATAGAAAGAGAAGATCCAAAGCAAACTTACAAAAGATTGTTAAAGGAAAAAAACTGGTTCCTGTAAGCAAGAATGTTAGAATTTATAAATAAAAAAACTATAAACCTATAACTTATCAAGATTAAGATACATTCCAATAATCCCTATAATTAAGAAGTAGATGTCCTAACCAAAGAAGCTCTGAAACTCCCAGCAATAAAATGGAAAGAGCTGACCTCATACAAGATTATCACAGAAATTAGATGGCAAGAAAAGACGTTGGATGACCCAATAAGATAGTTTGTCAAAAAAGTAAACAATAAAACAACTGCCTTCCAGTGAACACAACAAAATAGAACTGAAAAAAGATAGAGCCATCAAATTATAGAATAGCAAGATCATACTTAAGATCTTGTATGGGAAAGAATAAATGAAGAACACACCTGGAACACTTCCTTAAACAATCGCAACAAAAAAGCTTTCTCATAAAACTAATAAATAATAAGCTACCAATACTGAACAAGCTGGCAACTAGAAGGTCCGACCTTTATAAACAAGTGAAATGTATTGCATGTAACCAGCAAAGTGAAACTTTCAAACATTTATTAAAGTGTCCAGCATACAAAAACAATTATAAAAAGCATAGAATAAATGACAAGATGGGATCCTTAGAGACTTTAGAGGGCTTTTACAAGAGAGAAAAAAAGAGGCAGAAGAAAAACATGCAAGACTGATTATCCATAGTGAAGAAGAAATGGATGAGATGGATAAATGGATCTCCAAAACTGATAAAACAAATCTCAAAAACCAGTCAGGACACTCTAAGTTTTTGCACAGGGCTAGTAAGAAGAGACTTAATTCTAAAAATGGTAGATCTGAAATGCCATGGAAAAAGAATTGATAATAATGCAAGAAGATAGATATTAAAGATGCAAAGAAAAGTATGCAACCAAATAAGGAAAAAGATTTGGAACAAAAGATATAAGAAGATAATCGAATAGGAATATTCACAGGGGATCCGCAGAGTAGAGAAAATTAACTGACTTTTAGGCACACATAGCTTAAAACCATTAGTCCTCAAAAGTAAAGATTTTTTACCAGTGAAAGGAACTCAAGAAAATGAAAGCCTAAAAGAAATTCTACTCAAAGATGTTACTTATGGAATGAAGTAGTTGGGTTTTAAGTTGGGTCAAAACAAAGGATAGTGATCTGCAGTGGTGATCTGTGGGTAATGATATTAAAGGTTGGAAGGGTATTCACAAGAACCATTAACAGAGTAATAAATCACTCCCGAAGTTGCACTTAGAGTTTTGATATATTAAGTCAAACAGTGATGAGTGAGTTAGGTAAAGTCTTAGCTTTAGTGAATTATTTAAAATGTATAGTATACAAATATTTAATAAAGTACATATACCTAGCCTGACCTAGGGTTTTTAAAAAAAAAAAAACCAATATATTATAAAAAATTATTAAAGAATAAATAATATGGCTATACTAAATCTCATGCTAATTCACTTATCAATAGCTTTCAATTCTCAAATAAGCTTAAGTCTCTAAGTACAACCTTGAAAACAATATTTTGCTTTGAAATAAGTTTTGGGTAAAAATCCTCTTAACTTACTCATCATTAC